CACTCCAGCAACTGTATGCATCTGATAAATAAAATTTGCCTGCATTTTAATAACAGAATAACTGAGCTGGAAGGGGACCTTGGAGGTCTTCTAGTCCAACCTCCTGCTCAAGCAGGAGACCCTATGCCATTTCAATCAAACGGCTGTCCAGTCCCTTTTTAAAAGCTGAACGACATTTGTTAGTTGGGAAAAGTGTTGCCAGATTCCTGGTTTTAGGATATTTAGGATAATTATTCTACAACATTATTGTGCTGAAATTTTTAAAATCCAAATTTGAACAAGGGACTGAACTTTATACTCTGTTTGCCAGGAAGAAACATTATACTGAATTTAAGATAGGTCTTCCCACAAAGTAAGATTAAACTGGAAAAAAAAATCTGATTCCAAGTTTTAAGGCCTCTTCTTTAAAAATAATTCATATAGAGAAAGTAGCATGCTTCTGAATCTTAAATTTATATTTGGGTTTCCCCATATGAAGTAGGATTGTCTTTCTTCAAAACAGCAATTTACACTCAATTGGGACAGAGTTGGTTGACGGCAAAATTCATAGCCTCAGTGCTTTACTGGAACATTACTGGAGCTGTGTTTGCAGACACTTGTGCAGTGTCTGCAAGCACAATCATGAATGCTTGCTGCTAGAGGATTAGCCACAGATAAATTTGAGTTTAATGGTGAGCAGCTACTATCTTTGCCTGCTTCAGAACATGACTCTTCTTCGATAACCTAAATGGTTTCAAAATGTTTTCTTTTAGGAATCAACAAACAATGAAAAAAACAACAACCCGCAATGCAATTCATTTCAGCTGTCTTCAAGGCCAGAAAAGAAACTGGAATATTCTCTTAGCAATCTCTCAATAGCGTAATTTGATTTGTAACAAATTATTGGGAAAACAAACAAACAAAAAGGCCTGCACACAGCTTCAGATATAGCACAAACTCAATCAGGACTGTGGAAGTATTTCAGCTCTAACCGAAACTTTTGCATTTTTGTTTTGCAGCTTTCGAGAGAAGGGGAGGCTCCAATCCCATAATTCAAAAAGCATTTTTCAGGTATATTGCTCTGATGACTCCTTTTATGCAGTGGTGGGGTTCAAATAGGTGAACAACCGGTTCTCTGTGTGGATGCCACTTCTGGAAGTCCATTCTGGGCATGGGCAACCAAAAATTAGCTACCGGTTCTGCCGAAGTGGTGCATAGTGGCTGAATCCCAGCACTGCTTTGAGGTCTGATTTCTGTAAGGGTCTCTTCTTCATGAAAAGGAGACAACGTGCTGGCAAGAAATATATGTTCTACCGAGTAAGTTGCAAGTGAGCCACGAATTCTTCAACAGTTTATAAAGACACAGTTGGTCGGCTGGACCAACACTTCCTGTAAGTGAAACTTCTGTGGCTTCTGGCAAGTGTCAAAACAGATGCTAAGTGCTGGTTCTAACAGTAATTTTATCAAGGAAACGAATAGATAGACAAAGGGATGAAAACGGACTGGCTCTGATTGAAGCAAATTCATGGCTCACTTGCAGAAGCCCCTTAATAGTTGGTTAATAAATTAATAAGCCAGACTTTCAGGCCTTCTCAAACAGGGATTCTCTCTGGTTCAGCTAGCCCTTGGTTTCTGTATATCCAAATTTCTACTCCAACACTGGAAAACGTAATGATAATTCAGCCCTATATTGAGGGGTGGGGGTGGGGAGAAAGAGAGAGAAGAGGGAGAGGAGAGGAGAGGAGAGGAGAGGAGAGAGAGAGAGAGAGAGAGAGAGAGAGAGAGAGACAGAGAACCAAAATTTGCTGAATTGCAGCTCAAGCCAGCATGGCTAATGGTTGAAGAATGCTGGGCATTATGATTCATTAAACAACTGAAGGATCTCTAATACTCTATCCTAAAGTAATCCTTTGTAGGTCAGAGTTTGAACTGCGCCAGGTCACCAGTGGGCTAGCAAGGCTGCAGCCAAATGGGATGAAAATGCCAATGGCCCCGTGGAGCTGCTGAGCCCCTTTGCATCCCAGGTCCTTGCCAGATGCTGACCTCCCCTGCTGTCCATCCCAAGCGCAGTCCGGGCTGCAGCCCCTTCTGTTTTCTGCTGTCAGCTCCTACTGGTGTAGGACTGGGCTGAGGGGGATATGCTGGCTTTTGCTGCTCCTAGCTGGAGAAAAGAGGGAAAGAGAAAACCAATTATGCCAGGAACAATGTCTTTGTTGATCCCAGTCCTGCAGAGAGATACAAGCAGCTGCTTTGTTCCAGAAGGCTAGTGAATGTCTCCTCTGTGCCACAAAAGGTAGGAGGAGAATCCGCTATGTGGCAGTACAGTAGCTGAGCTGCTTGAACATTTTCTGTGGAGGAGATGGGGGAAGGTCCCATGAGCTGCCCAAGGGAAAAGAGGTAGCCCTAAGTGGGAGACAATTTGTCCAAAGGCTGGAAAAAGCTTTCTGGAGCGTTGGGACAGATCCCCTTGAGGAGACACTGCTCCATGTCGGAGAAGCATCCCCAGGTTTTCTCTGCAAGCTTCGCTTTGACACATGCCAAGCAGAAGGACTGCAAGAAAGTGCTTAAGAGAAGAAAGAGGTAAGCTGCAACCCCAGGATTATTTCTGCAGAATTAGGGCAGGGGCTGAGGTGATAAAAAAACTGGACAAGAAAGAAATCTGGACAGCGGGCGATATTTAATAACAATTAGGTAGTATCCAGCAGGGGGAAAAAGGTATGTTTACACACACTGACATGTGCGCCACTTGATAAGCAAATATATTGGCATCTCCTTTTTGGACCTACTACTTCTTCCGGGATTGCTTGAAGAGAGGTAAACCAAGTCATTTACATTCGACTTATCTGAAGGGCTTTAACCCTTTTCAACCCTTGGAAAACTGCATCCCGTTCTGGTTGCCTTTATTCCCCCAAAAAGATGCTGAGATCCTAGAAAGAGTAGTCTAGTCTAATGGAAAAAAAAGGACTAGGGATGGTACGATAGCAGTCTTTGGCTACTTGACGTCACAGAGAATAGGTGGGGAGGGAAACCTATTCTACAAAGCTCCTGAGGGCAGGAGAAGAAGTAATGGGTGGAAACTTGGATCCAGCCTGGAACTAAGGAGACATTTCCTGACAAGGAGAACAATTAATCAGCGGAAGGGCTTGCCTTCAGAAGCTGTGGGTGCTCCATCGCTGGAGGTGTTCAAGAACAGACTGTAGAACTATTGATGGGGATGGTATAAAGTCTCCTGCCTTGAGCAGGGGGTTGATTAGAGGATCTCCAAAGTCCCTTCCAGCCCTGTTATTCTACATTCTATGTTCTAACAGATATTGTTTTAGAGGCATGGTGAATTCTTGCTCCAACCAATCTCTGCACATGAATGCATATTCATTTGCATCCTCTCTCTTATATCCCCCTGTACTAAATTCTCAGCTATGTTCTGTGTAAATTGTACTATGACAAGGAAAACCTATCAAAGGGTAGAGGACATCGAGAGGCAAGCGGACTTAGGTGTGGCTCCGCTGTTTTTGGCTCCAGACTCTATTAAATATGTGGTTACACCACCCACTTAGTCAGTTGGAGTCAGTAAACCACAGGAAAGCATTCTCGCTTGCATTGTGCCATGCGTTTCCATCAGCTGTCCTCTACGGCAAGTATAAAAAGACAGCATTGGCTGAAAGACTCTGCAGCTGTGGCTCAGGAGAGGTGGAGACCATTGGACACAGACTCCTTTGATGTTCCTTCTATAGAGCTATTCGGAAAAACCATATCCTCCATAATTGATAGGTATCCTGGTCATTTGGAAAGTATTTATCTCCAGTGACTTCTTAAGGACGAGCAGGAAGTGATCACGGCGCAGGTGGCTAGACTCTGCCCAGCAGCATTGGGGATTCGCCAGAAACATAAGTAAACATTTTAGATCTTTTTAGCAATCATTTATCATTAATTTTATTATGTGTTTTTAATCCAGCATTAGACTATACTCAATGTATTTTTATTGTCAGGTCAGTAAGATTCCGTTTTTCTGAAGGTACCTAGTTTTTGTTATACTGTCTGTAAAACTAGGCAGACCTTGGTCACCCATTGATTGCATCATCAATTGTAATATATTGCTATGTCTTCTTGCGTTGGTTCTGTTTAGTTTTGTTTTATTTGAATGTTTAATGTATTTGTTGGCCTTTGGCTGCAGTAATAATTGAGGTTACCTAGTTTGGGTCACAAAACATCTGCAAGAAAACAAGCCAGCTCAGAGAACACCAAGGAAGGACCCCACAATCTTCTTCCTCCTCCTTGCACTGATGATGTTACCTAGTTTGGGTCACGAAATGTCGGCAAGAAAACAAGCCAGCTCAGAAAGCACCAAGGACCCCTCAAACCAAAGCTTGGTTGTCTATGGAGAGGAGAGGCAAGGGATGAAGCAGGCTTGGTGAGGGAAAGCCCACAAGCATGTAGACTGGGGTTTACCTTGTGGACATCCTTTCTGCATCCTCCTGGCTTGCTGCCCAAGCCCCTGGGGGAAAGAGCGTGAGCTTTTTCAGCGCTCCGGGTGGGCCCTCTTTCACCAGGCCAGAAAGAGACTAGAAGCATCACTGTCCCCATTGAGGGCCTTCTTCTCCTTGCCAGTTTGTATCAGGTTCCTAGCGAGTTCTATGGGGTCCCCTGCGGAAGGAGGTCAGTCCGAGACAGAAGCAGTGGTGTTGAATGTCAAGAAGGAATAAAGGAGTCTTGTTCCCCGTTCAGGATCTATTTACAGTTTCCATTCATTATTCATTGGTGAGCAGAATCTCAGCTGTATCAAACAGGCACTAGCAACACAGAGCCCACTCACCCCCCCCCCAGGAGTCCTGACCAGTGTGGACGAGGGCCAGGATGATCTGCGCGACAGAAGAATTCTCTCTCTCTCTCTCTCTCTCTCTCTCTCTCTCTCTCTCTCTCTCTCTCTCTCTCATATTTTTCCAGTAATCTCATTGCACCCGAGAGGTGCAATAAATGACATGGTGGATTTCGCTAAACCAGTGTACGGGATTTTAGCTTCTATACACACCATACTCAGATCTGGAAAACCACTTTCCAGAAACAACTTAGAAACGCCGACCCAATTGGCCCTTTAGTTATTTAATGAACGCAAATTTCTGATCTCCGCTGTGGTCATTAAGTCAAGGAGCACCTGTAGTATTTTGCTCCTTATGCAAGGACAGGATGAAGGGCTATTAGAAACAATTAGGGTTTTTCCTTTATTAGAAGGAAATCTGGCAGTGACTGGGATATAAGCAATCCTGGCTGGAGGGAACAGCCAGTTTAATGCCAGTAGGATGCCAGCTAACTTAAGGACAGATGGCAAGTGCTTCAGTTTAGCCATGGGAAAAGGCTCGGCCTTTTTCATTTAATGACTACCAAATATCTTTACCTAATTATTTTTTTTTAGTTTTTATTTCTGGCTTGTGGTTTTTATTCGTTTATTTTTGAAGGGAGATTGTTTTAGGCACTTTATGTGGCACTTTTTATATGTTTTCAGGCTTAAAATAAACATGGGACTAGATCTCCGGTTTCTGAGTCCTGCCCTCTGTTGTAGATTGTGAAGAGTTGTGGAACCCCCAGGTGCTTTCTGTCTATGTCATTTTTTTGAGATTATATTAGTCTTTGTACGTGGAGCAGGATCTCTGAATAGGAAGCTCTGCATGCAGCACCTTCTTCCTTTCGCCTTCACCAACCATGTTCTCCACCAGGGCCCTCCGTTTGTGGAATGGGTCCCTCCTGGACCCCTGCAGGTCAGCCATTCCCCCCCCCCCAACCTTGTGCTCCTGCAGGCCCCGGGAACACAACCACAGAGGACAATCCTGCTGCATTGCAGTTGTTCTCCTCTATTCCAGCCCTCCCGATCTTGCAAAGAGCAGGCATTCCCTCCAGTCCAGCCACGGAGCTCCTGTGGACTCCTACTGGCTAGAGTCAGGTGCTGTCGCCTTTCACTCTCTCTTTTTTGCTGACTGCGAAACACACAGACGGCAGGTTGCAGGCTGGCCAAGTGTGCATCTGCAGGTATCTCTGCTTAGCGAGACTCCCCCCCCCTCCCTCCCACAAAGGCTCTGATGTGGTTGGTGGGCTGAATGACCAGCAAGGAAAAAATGTCAAAACTACCTCTCAGCTAGAAAATGCATCCAAACGGCCTGGGGGTCTGTATGTGAGCTGCTGCCTTCTCTCTAGATTAAATTATAAACAAGGAAATCCACCTCGTTCCTGCAGCGGGTGGATAACAGAACCCTGGCGCCTTGGCACCTTCAGATTGCCATTGGTGTCCCATAGCAAATGCTTCTGGTTTTTACAGTTGCATAGATGACAGCCCCAGCAATGGTCCAATGCAAGAGAATCCACGTGGCTAGACTTTCTCCAAGCCCTGATGAGTTCTGATGAGCCAACATTTCCCACGCTTGCTTGCTTACTGAAAGCCCGTGTCATCCTTTCCATGCCTCTCTTTCCTCTGATTATCGTACGAGGTGTAAGGAAGGCCTCCGCACGATCGGTTTGGGCTCTGGAATTCCTGGAGCGCAGCTATCAACCAGTTGCTAAGCCAGTATTAACCCCGATGCATCAAGGCTTGTATTTTGCATTAGGCAGCCTTCCCCGTTATGTAGGAATTTGTCGAGTGAATTAACCAACCATTCTCTCTGTTTCTTCTTTCAGACGATCATAATGTTGCCCCAAAGGACGAACTGGAAGTCCATGTGTAAAGGCCTCGTTCTGACTAGCTTCATGCTGGTTCTGTATTTGTATGCTGTTCCACCCTTACAAGTCAGCATGACAGAGTGAGTGAATCTGGCATAGACGGTACGAGGTGATGGAGGTGCAGGAAGCATGCCTTTTCCATCTGGAACCAGTCCGGGAGGGATCTTCCATAGAAAGCCTTTGGAACCATTTATATTTGTGAAACCACAGGCAGGGGTAGACACCTGGGGTACTAAAAGTGTACATTCTGTTTCCATCTCTTTCTGTCCTTGGTTCGAAAAGTCCTTGCAAGCAATCAAAAGTGGAATGCTGGGCCTTTGCAGAGAAAAGATAGGGTGGACATATTACTGCCCTAAGTTATGCTTGCAAAGAGCTGCACTGTATTGTTGTAAGGCAAACCAAAATTGCAAGGCTCCTGTGACCAATAGCTGCTTTCAGCATTAGTGATGAGGGTGGGAGGCCAATGGCAAGTCTAGAACTTTTGCCAGGTAGACATAAGAAAGGTAGAGATGATTTCTCCTAAAATAAATAAATCCTTATTCATTTTTCCTTTTTTTTTTCTTTCTTCCCACCAGGATTCCCATCCCTTATTCCTGCTCTTCCTACCGCACTCAGGCCCGGCTATCAGCTTCAGGGAATAGTAGCCAGGGCTCAGCCGGAGAAAAATGTCTTCCCAAACTAAATATCATGTTCATGAAGACCCACAAGACAGCCAGTAGCACCATCCTCAATATTCTCTTCCGCTTTGGAGAGAAGCACCACCTCAAATTCGCCTTCCCCAATGGACGTAGCGATTTCTACTACCCGTCCTTCTTTGACCACAGCCAGGTGAAGGGCTACCAGCCCGGCGTCTGCTTCAACATCATTTGTAACCACATGCGCTTTCAGTACGAGGAAGTGCGCAAATTGCTGCCAGCCGACGCCATCTTTGTGACAGTGCTGCGGGACCCCGCCTACCTCTTTGAGTCTTCTTTCCATTACTTTTGGGGCGTCATCCCTTTGACCTGGAAGGTATTGGGAGATGATAAGCTGGCTGAATTCCTGAGGGATCCTTGGCATTACTATGATCCGAACGGGTTCAATGCGCACTACCTCCAGAATCTCCTTTTCTTTGACTTAGGCTATGACAACAACATGGACCCCAACAGCCCGTTAGTCGAACAGTACATTCGCGAGATTGACGCGCGTTTCAATCTGGTGATGCTTTTGGAGTTCTTTGACGAATCCTTGGTGCTTCTGAAGGACTTGCTGTGCTGGGAGCTGGAAGACATTCTCTATTTCAAGCTCAACGCTCGCAAAGGGTCCTCCGTCTCAAGGCTGACCAAGGAACTCTACCAAAAGGCCACCGTCTGGAACTTACTGGATGCCAAGCTCTATCAGTACTTCAATACCACGTTCTGGCACAAAGTGGAGGCCTACGGGACGGCCAGGATGGCTAAAGACGTGGCCAGGCTCAACGAGGAGAATGAGAAGATGAAGAGCGTCTGCATAGACGGAGGCCGCCCTGTGGATGCCAACTCTATTGAGGAATCCGCCATGCAGCCCTGGCAGCCAGTGGGTGAAAAATTCATCCTGGGCTACAACTTGAAAAAGAGGATCAACAAGAAGCATCGGAAGCTTTGCCGCAAGATGCTGACCCCCGAGATCCAATACCTGTCAGACCTCGGGGTCAACCTGTGGATGACCAAGCTGTGGGGCTGGGTGCGGATGTTTTTGAAGTGGTAAGAGGGCAACGCTCCTTGTGACGACCGAGCACACTGTCCCTCCATAACAGTCACTTCGATGCTTTTCTTTCCCTTTCTTCTCTTTCCACTTGTTTCTCCCACTGGTTGGCCAGGCACACACTGAACTGGGTCTATGGCAATTTGCCGTGGCCGATTCACCACGGCCAACCCACCCCGGTCAACTTGCCCCAGGACAACTCGCTGCGGGAGAAGACTTCCACAAATATCAAAGAAGCAGTGGAACAGCATCGTTAAAGAAAGGGTGCAAAAGGAGGGATAGAATGAAATGTGACTGGCAAAAAATGTAAATACTTTTGATGTATTTTAAATAATTAAACAGAATGGTTAAATTGTTAAACTGCAGCGAGTTGGCTGTGGGAAGTTGTCCCATTTCCCCGCTGAACTCGCATGGTGGCCACCGGCTAGCGTGAGAACTATCTTGAGCATAAACTGTTCCTGAAGGTGAAATTAAAAACAAAAATAGGTGGGAGGGAATGCATGACCAAGGCTTGTAACCAAAGCAGGGAGAAAAGGTGCTGTACCCGTGACTCATTTTTGGCAGGACTTTGGCAAGAAGAAAGTAAAATGGAAGCATTCCATTCTCAGAGGTCACTCTGATGCTTTAACGACTGAAAACACTACAGTGAAAACCAGGTCAAGAAGTTTCTACCAGCTGCAGTATTTTGCCACTCAGAATCTCCTTCCCCTCTCTCATTCACACTCTCGTGGGCCGCAATCGTAAGAGAAACTGCCAGCCTGCCGTTTATTACAGCATAAGGTGGTTAGGGAAGGAAGTATGTGACGATATTTGCTTGTACCATACATCGTTTTCCTTGTGAGCAGGACTGGATGCCCGTTCCCTAGAGGCAAATTGAACAGGTAATTTGCCCTGAACTATAATAAAAAGAGAGAATGTGCACTGATGGAGCAGTACAATTTTTCACGTACTTTGAGCAGATCTGCCCCCAAAAGCTTTAAAGCAAGCAACTGTCAGTCCTTCTTCCCTCGGACCCTCTAAAGTACTGTAATGTTCTGCTGAAGTTTTGGAACGGGACTTTCCACCAAATCCCAGTTCTCAGGATGCTTTGCGAAGCAAGAGCAGCTGAGCACTTAATCAATATCGCTGTTACAATTTTATAGTGCAGGTGCGCCCAGGTGAAGCTTTATTCCGATGTGTTACACGAGCCGTGGATGTGCATTTCTGTAACATGTGCATAGATAAATTCTTCCATTGAACCACAGTTGTATTTTGTTCACTTGCCTGACTATGTTACATCCTGAGCATGAAACAGCACTGAGCGTTTTGTTGCTTGCATGAATGGGAGATGAGCGTAGTCTTCCGTGGGTTCCCCAAATCCCTCTCTGATTAAAATTGCACAAAAACAGAGTGTAAAAGGCAAAGAAAAGATGGGATTTGCACAAATTCACAGCATTCTACACAGTCCATTCTGGTCAATGAATGCCAAAGTCGACATAGGCTACTTTCTGATCATTCCAGGCCAACTGAGGCAGGAGAGCATGGCCAGGAGATCTGCTATTCAATAGGAAGGAGAGGACTGGTCAGGCCATCTATTTTTCGCAAACCTATTTTTAAATCACATTTGGTGCTTACAGATAGTTGATTTGGAGTTGTCTCATGGATTTCTGAATTATAGATTCCAATGGCTGGATGCATCTGCACCAGCTACTCTCAGAAACCATGGGCGTGCATCGTTTCACCAGCTAACGTGGCTCTTCCTTTGCTCCTAAAAGCACATTTTTATTTTCACTAAGGAGTTAATTCTCACTTTTGGTGACCCACTTCCCACAGGGCCTCAAGGCTCTCCCAGATTCCGTCCCCAGAGTCTACTGGGAAGGAAGCATCATGTTCTGGGCCCAACTTCCCCGCCATTATCCCATTTAGTTATTTGATTTACAAATAACTCAAGGGCAGCAAACATACATAAACACCCTCTCCTCCTCCTGTTTTCTCCACAACAACAACCCTGTGTGGTGGGCTGGCCTAAGAGTGATTGGTTTGAAGTCACCCGGCCCGCTTTCAGGCCTAAGGCAGGACTAGAACTCCCCGTCTCCTGGAGATTTGCCCAAAGTCCCCTCGGCTACTTTGATGCCGAAGGTGGAATAGAACCCTCAGTTGGTCTGCTTTCTAAGACAGCACCTTAACCACTACACTAGGTAAGCGACCTGCTAGCCCTGTCAGAACCTGGGGAACGTCCCAGCATCCTCTGGAAATCATTTGCAAAGTGACCAGCACATCGACAGCTTTTTAAACTTCTCTACATTGTAACATACAGATGCACCCCGGTATGTCAGGAGCAGAGTCCCTGATCACAGGTAAGGTCCACAATAATCAAAGCCACCTCCTCCCGTGCCTTGGGGTTGAGCTTGCTGGAGGACCTGAATCATAGCTGGGCAGATTCCAGACAAGGCCACAGCACCACCCTCACTCAGCCGGGTTTCAGTAATAAATGCCACCACCACATTAATTACAGATCCAGCATTGACACTAAGTCCCTTGAGCCAAGATCTCCACTTGTCCAGCCGTGTGGGCCTCAGGTTGGTAGTTAAGATTGCCACAAAACTGGAGGTGTCTGCAGAGATTGGACCGTCACTTATTTAAAAAGGTATGAGATCTGCTTGAGCAGGGGGCTGGACTAGAAGACCTCCAAAGTCCCTTCCAGCTCTATTCTGAATCACTTCGTTGTAGAGCTAGCTAGCTGGCTGGCTCAGTATGATGTGCTATCCAAACCAATCTGGCTTGCTGGGCAAGCCATGATTAAAACTAACCCAGCTGTTACAGACTTTCTGTTAATAGGAGACCTACACAGCCCACTGCTTTGGCTGAAGATACCTCAGGCTGTGCATTCTTCAAGAATGATCCCAAAGAAGTCTTTTGTTAAAGTGGACTCAACCCTTAAAGCATCAGTTTGACTCAACCCATAAAACCTTTCTGTGAAGCCTGAATACCCCCTGGCTGCTTTCATAAAGAGCAGGAAAGTGCTAAGGTCACTTGAGGTCAGGAGACATCCATCTGAATTCTTCCTGAAGCCCTAGCAGAAATAATAACCAAGCAATGGTTAATTGAACTGGCTTATCAAATCAAAATTGACTGACGTTCACATAATCACACTAAGCCAGAGGTCCCCAAACGTGGCAACTTTAAGACTTGTGGACTTCAGCTCCCAGAATCCCTCACCCTGCTTTACCTTTCTAAACGTGTCAAGCCATTTCTATTACAGCAAAATCATTCTAGTTGTCCAAACTCAAATGGCTGTTTAATTTTTCTTTCTTTCAGTTTTGAGTACCCATGGTCCTTTTTTCTGATCAGCTTCTTTGCTGGCCCCTACCGGACAAAAGAGACAGGCTCTGCCTTCCATTTGGGTCCTTGCTATAGAAAATGAGCAGCTGTGTCTCTGGGTGGGGCTTCTGTGGGAAGGAAATAAAGAGATCCAAGGGACAAAGCATGGATTCATTCTCCTGGGTTGCAAGTGGAAGGCCACCAAGATGGGACTGGAGAGGACCATTTCCACACTCTGGGTCTGCTTGATGCTGCTGGAAGCCACTGCAGCTCAAAGGGGTAACCATGTTTGTCTCTAGGTCAAAGCTGAGTTAGAAGGAAAGTGAGGAGAAGGCTTCTTTCTGAATTGGAGAAAGGTGTGGTCAAATGGAAGTAAATGTCTGCTCCCTAGTTCTTCTGATGGAGTTTAAGGAGGAACCAAATCTGGAATTGTCCACGATGAATCATAACATTTGCTGTGTGTATTATGTGATTCCCTAACTGGCATGGTTAGTCTGTGGTTTAGTATGCCTTGAAAAGCTAAAAAAAACCCCACCTAGATTAATTGAATAAACTGGTTTAGTTAATGATAAGCATGAGTGGCAAGTGAGCAGAGATACTAGCTGACTTTACAATTTACACTAAGCCATAGTTTTGAAATGCTACCAGTTTGTAGTTCAACCATGGTTTGTTGAATTAACTCAAGTGCCTAGCTTCATGACGCATGTGAGATAGTTTCCCTTGAGTCAAGTTTGAAATCTGATGACTACATGAACAACAAAAGTCCCCCCCCCCAAAAAAAGTCTGACCTATAGCTCTGGATTTAGTCATCCATCCAGGTTGTAACCAGACTTTCTCCTGCTTATCTTCCAATCTTAGACAAGATTGGCTAGTATTATATAACCTACCAATTGACTTTGTGGACTATATACACCCAATCCAGATGCATCACCATCTCATGAATTAAGCAGAACTGAAACAATGTTGGTTTAGTTTGTTAATTGCAACTTCCAGGATAATGGGATGCTTTTCTGAACCAAGACACTTTATGAAATGGAAGGCCAGCACTGTACCTGCAACTGTTCCTCCCCTGGCCCCTATCTTTGCTCATTCCCCTTAGTAATAATAAAATAGGAGAGATAGATGACCTCTTAAGGCCTCTCCCATGCTGGTTTGTTCCAGGAAATAGTAAGTCTGATCATTGCTTGGTTTTGTGTTTGATTTCTGCCCTGCTTAACTCTCATGTGGGGTCAATATCTCTTGACTGCTCTCATCCAGGCTTGCTTGATAGAAACCACAAAGAGGTTCCAATTGGTTAGTCAATTCAAACCTGTCTCACTCTTCTTCTTCTTCTTTGCTAAATCTCTAAAAATATCATGCTATTGCATTGCACTATATAATGCTCCTTCAGCTGGCTTCTGCTACATCCTGTATTTTTGGGGAAGATGGGGGAAAATATTTCCTTTCCACGATGTTAGAAATGCTGCAAAGGTAATCAGCAAGTCTAAAATCAGGCTGATTGTTCTACAGGTTTCAGACCAAAATGTAAAATCTCTTTCAAGCTGGACCTTGTAACTTCATGGACCTACCTGGGTAGTTTTCTCCGTAACAACCACCATAACACAACATTTGTTGCCTTCTGCCAGAATCTTCCTGGTGTGGATTATATTCTAGGCTCTCCTGGTGTTCTCCATCCAAGCTTGTGGTCCATGAGCTCTTTCTCTTATCCTTCTCTTTCCCACAGTCCCTGCAAACACCGTTATCTATGAATGCAACAGGACCAGTATCCACCTGGCTGTCAAGATGGACCTGTGGGGGACCGGCCTCGGGCTGGACCCGAAGTTTTTATACCTGGGCAGCTGCCTTTCTTCACATGTGAACGATGCCTCGGGCTTCTTCCATTTTCAGTATCCATTCCAGGAGTGTCGCTTCGCAAGACTGGTAAGGGAGGGGGACGTCGTTAAGATTTCCCCTTGAATTCCGGAGTGGGAATTTGGGGAAAATTGGTCCTGAAAAAGGACTATAGATGACCTGGGGCATCTTGATCCCCATTGGTGCCCAAGCCTGGCACAAATATCCTTGACACCTTGTTATTTTTTCGTCTTATGTCCTCAAGAGGTGGATTTATGTTAAAGTGGAGAAATATGCAGGGACCTAGAAAGGAATCTTAGAACAGAATAACAGAGTTGGAAAGGACTTGACCCTCTGCTCAAGTAGGAGACCCTAGACCATTTCAGATTCTGGGAATTGAGGCCCCCCCCCGCCGTCTTAAAGTTGCTGAGGTTGAGAAACACGGGTTCAGTACATATCCTGACATTCACATAAAGTACTCATTTTTGCAGACATCCGGCACCATGGTTGAGTACACAACCCACCTAGTGTACAGGCCAGTATCCAGCCACAACAGCCCTTTCACAGAGAGGATTAACTGTACAACCTATGAGTAAGTGCTGAGTTTGCAGAATTGTACTCCATTGATGGATGCCGGGCAGCAGAGCTGATCGGGAAGAAATTATTTCTAATGTTCCTTTTCCAATACGGCTTAGCCAAATTGCTGCCGCTGTTACTATCGCATTTTTTCCCCTTTGCGAATCTTAATATTCAATATGAAGAATACTTGCCAGAGCTCTCCAACCTTGAAAATTTTAAGACTTTGTGGCTGAGGAATTCTGGGAGTTGAAGTCCCCACGTTTTTACAGTTGCCAAAGTTGGAGAGCCCTGTGTTAGAATACCCTCTAACCGTAAATCAATTTGTGGGCTGCCTATTTGCTGAGCTGGTCACCCTTGAAGTGCTAATGCTGTCCAGGCACTCTGTGATCAGTTCATGCTCTGCTGGAAAATCTTTTTTTTTCACCCTGCCTTCTAGGACACAACGCCTTCCTGTCCGAGTCACGGGGTCTGGCCTGCTTTCTGCTTCCAGTGGATTAATGTTCCGAGGGACATTTATGAACGGTAAGCAGAAAGGTATTTAATAATCCACTGAACTAATGCAGCTTCACATAACACCAGAAGTGGCTCAGGGCAGCCTACCACCAATAAAATTACCTTATAACAATGATGGTTAAAAGCAATCATGAAAACACAATCCTTGCTAACAGAATGACAGAAGAGTTGGAAGGCATCTTGGAGGTCTTCTAGCCCAAATGCAGGAGACCCTAGAGTAGACCAACGGTCGTAAATGTGGAAAAACAGCCCTAAGTCCCCCTTTTTCTCTCTCCACTTTGAATGGTCACTAAATAAACTGTTTATTTAGGGCTACCTGTGTATGGTGGATTTTTCTAAATTTGGTAAGCCCCCACCAAATCTGCAAGTTGGGCAGCTCTATACATGGGTTAAAAACAAACCAATAAAAGCCTGTTTTAATCCTCTTGCAGAGGGCTTCAGTGCCCCTTCGGATCTGTCGGTCTTCCTCTTGGGGACACAAATCCACATTGAATTTGCAGTCCAGCAATTCTTCCATCAGCCTTTGCGAGTTTTTGCAGACGAGTGCATGGCTGCCGATGCGGCAGAGCGGGGCAGCTCCTCCAGAAATTACACCATTATTGCAAACCACGGGTGAGCACTTTCTGGCAAGCCCACACGTCTTCAAGTGGCGAAGGTGGAGAAATCTGGGTCAGCCTAGAGGGCAAAATAGCTAAGGGGCGGGGAGGTGAGCGATCCCCCATCCGGCACAGAGACAAAAGATTGATTTGTTAAACCAAGGTCACCCTAGTTCTTCCTACCTGAGACGCTGCCTGTAAAAGACGGCTTTCCGGGAAGGTGCTCGAGTAGTGATGGGTTGTTTTTTTTTCCCTTTGCTGTTTGGGACAGGTGCCTGCTGGACAGCAAGGTTGCGAATTCGAGGTTCCTCCCTCGACCCGCTCCGGATGTGCTCCGCCTTTCTCTGCAGGCTTTTGAATTTGTGGGGATGAACACAGAGGTAAGGAACTGAAGATATGGTTGGCTTCAGGCTTTCTCTTCTGGAAATGGCTTGAGATTTTTGCTTGCCCCGACAAGTTTTTCTGAGCAGCGATGAGGACTAGGAACTTGAGTTAGGGAAAACTGAGGGTTTTTTTGCTCCTCATGAGGCTCCTCCCGAAGGACACCACATCCATTGTGTAACAGGAGGAGATGTCCTTCGCGGGGATCTCTTTTCTGAGCCTAGTTCCATCCAAAGGCCCTGGAAATGGGATTTTATTATTTTATTTTTATTTATCTAATTTTCATTTTTTATTTTTGTTTTATTTTTATATATTTTTTTATCCTTTTTTATTTTGTCTTTATTTTTTATTTTTTTATTTATCTCATTTTTATTTTATCTCTATTTCTTATTTTTATTTTAGCTTTATTTTCGTCTTTATTTTTGTTTTATCTTTTCTTATTTTTATTTATTTATTTATTTATTTATTGGGATGACCCCTTCTTGCCACCCTGACAAGTTCTAAACACAGCCTTCCCCCATGAAATGTCCACACAGACCAGGATTTCTCAACCTCGGCGGGTGGACTTCAACTCCCAGAATCCCCCATGCTGGCTTCCAACAAGCCAAGTCAATGGGAAAAGCTGGATCCACTTAACAACCCCGTGATTCGCTGAATGACTGTAGCAAAAGCGATAGCAAAATCTAGCGTGGCTCAATAACCACCATACTTAGAATTGGACGTTCCGGTCCCTATTGTCATAAGTCAAGGGCTACCAACAGTGGGATTGATCTGGATAGGTAGAGTCCCAAGCCAACTTTATTCTATCGGCTGCTATAGGAAGTCATTGTTGACATGCTGTGGATAAGATACAGATCAGTATACAAGGCTGGATAGGGCTGGCTAAACAACCAGAGAAGAGACGAGGGCAGCTCTGGATGAAAATCCAAAAACGAACATTCACTTCTCCAAATCCTTTCATTTTTCAGATTTACCTGCATTGCCAAGTTCTCGTCTGGGAACCCGCAGTGCTGACCGATCCCAGAAGGAAGGCCTGCTCATTTAACAGGGACACCAACAGGTAAGAGTTCTCTTTCCAGGAACAGCACAAAGAAAGAATTCTACATTCCTGGGGTTCCCCCCCCCTCAAAACATCCGCCACAAGACATAGGTGTGAAAAGGCAACATTGACCTAGGTTTGCTGTTTAATGGGGATGCATTTCATGCCTTCAGAGGGGAGGGGAGCACCCCTCTGTCCAACTGGTGCTAAGGGGGGGTGCAGCGAGTGGAGGTCCTTCAGGGGGTGACTTGAATTCTTCTGCCAATTTTCATGCCAACAAAATCTGGGTTTGGGGATCCAAAATGGCCTTCTCTCTTGCAGGTGGGAAGCTCTGGATGGGATGGCCAGCGCAGTCTGCAGGTGCTGTGACTCAGTGTGTGAATCTGCTGGCTCTCGTCAAAAGAGAGAAGTAAAAGGTACTTTTCCCTTCCCTTTCCTTCTCTCTTGTCTCCTTCCTTCCTTCCTTCCTTCCTTCCTTCCTTCCTTCCTTCCTTCCTTCCTTCATCTCGTTTCCTTCTTACCTTCTTTCTTGTCTCCTTCCTTCTTTCCTTCTCTCTTGTCTCCCTTCCTTCCTTCCTTCCTTCCTTCCTTCCTTCCTTCCTTCCTTCCTTCCTTCCTTCCTTCCTTCCTTCGTGGGGATTGTTCCCTTTTTCAATCCCTAAGGAAAATTCTGCCTTGTTCAACTTCAGATCCGGCTTCAGAAGTCAATCCGTTGCAGTCAAAATGGTTGCTGGTCGGTCAGTTGACGGTTCAGCCATCTGCACCCAATGGGAGCGACGCTGAGTTGGGTTCGAATCATGCCCTCATTGAGAGCCATCAAAACAAGGTAAGTAAGGAGCTATTAGTGTAGCAGTCAGTTCTTTCTGCTAATGAAGGAGTTATTTCTGCATTTTAACTGTCTCTGTTCTGTTCTTGAGGTGTCTGTAAGGTGTGATAAAGTCAGATAGCTGGCCAAAACAATAAAATCAACTATTTGCCTGAGTTACGTATGTCAAGCACACTCTTGACATTTTTGCTGTACAGATAGTCCCCAACTTACAACAACCTTGTTTAATGACCATTTGAATTTATAACGGCACTGAAAAAAGTGACCTGGGACTGTTTTTCACACTATAATCATTGCATCCTCACAGTCACCTGGTCAAACTTCAGAATGCATGGAAACTGGCATGGACTTATGACAGTTGCAGTGTCCCAGGATCATGTGATCCTCTTTTGCGGCCTTCCAGCAAGCAAAGTCAATGGGGGAAGCCAGAATCACTTAACAACTGGGTTACTAATTTAACTGCAGTGTTTCATTTTAACAACCATGGTGAGAAAAAGGGGGCAAAAGTTGCTGAAAAACTGTCTTGCTTAGAAACAGAAAATTGGGGCTCAGTTGTGGTCCATACAGGTGGAACCTGAATTCTGGGTGTTGAAGCCTGCGCAGCTTGAAAGTCATAATGTGGAGAAACACTGACCTATTGCTTTTAGTGCCTTCAAAATTTTCCAATAAAACCTGGATGGAGATCGAATACATGAGCTGATTTTGCTCTCACCTTCCCAAGGAGAATTCAGCGAGCTTCTAATTTAAGAATGTCCTATCTTAAATGTTCCAGAATCAGCTAAGGACAAAAAGTTTTACCTTTTTGAGAGCAGTCAAGCTTGTGTAGATGCCGACACTTTGTGGAGCACGTAGGTATTACAGCTAAGTCAACAGTTCTCCTTTTGAACGTTGAAAATGTCCTAAGTATCTCCTGGTTAGTTGGGTTCAACTTAGGTTGTGTGAATCTAGCCATTGTGGTCTGGAAGCTATGAGTTACAGCAGATTAATATGGACAAAACTAGCCAACTGAGGCTTATTCCACAACTCTGTTTAAATAAAGCATTATTTATTCAGTTATTCCATGGAATAATTTGTTCAATTGTTCATTAGTCAATTAAATCATATTTCTCTTTCCCTTTCTTCTGCTAGGAGGGAAGCAAACTCTGATGCCACCCATTGTGGGCACCCTTCTTCCTGGAATCACAGCGATAGCCATGCCCCCCTTGGACTTCTGCTTTTGCAACACTTTTCAGAAAATACTGGACCTACACAGCAGGGATATTGTTGTTGACTCAGGAGCATGAGAGCTGACCAAGACTGTGGCTGTATCTGTGCTGCTGGGAACAGACTAAATTAAAAGCAATTGAAATGCCCTTGTTTGTGTTGATCGGGCCCTTGATGAATAAGACCGGACAAGGCAGGGAGAGAATTCGGATTCAACCTTGGCCATCTAAATGAGATCAGCTTTGGACCCCCTCTTGGGCACTGGGGCCGCACAATTCATTCCCTGCCTGAGCCGGGGTCTCTCAAGGTGTGTTTAGTGGAGGTATAACACGCCAGGTGAGACTGGAGTTTTGAATCCATTTTCACACTTGAGGCTTTTCAGGGATCTTTAGATGTAGCTTGTGGTCCTCCACCCCACAGAAGCTTAAAAAGAGCCCATTTGCCCTTTAAATCAGCAGCGTAACAGTGGCCTGGTTTATTATTGTTGTTTGGTGCCTTTGAGTCAATTCTAGAACATGGAATCTGGAAGGGACCTTGGAGGTCTTCTAGTCCAACTCCTTGCTCGAGCAGAAGACTTTATATCATCCCAGTCCAATGATGGAGCACCCACAATGGCAGGAGGCAAGCTGTTCCATTGATTAATTCTTCTCATCCAGCTTCATGGTTGAGAAGCAAAACATCTTCCAAAAATAACAAGAAAGTCCAGTTGCCTCTTGAAAAAGCACTTTTGAGACGTGCATCTTTAAGTTACCAAAGTAGAGAAATATTGTTCTACCAGGTCAGTTTCTATCCCAAAAACCAATGATAAATCACATAACTGAGCTATAAAACCATCATGGTTTATTCAGTACACCCAATCTTCTGGGCTTTGTTGACAAACCAAACACACCGTGACCTCTGTTTATGTGTTCACAGGCCGATGTTGGTTTATTCAATTTTGTGAATCAGTTTTACACACCAAACAGCCAATGGACATTCCGCTATTGGGTGCACACGTAACACAAATCATTTGGTTATTTAATTTGTGCTTTGGTGTGTTGTGTGAAGACAACAGTGTACTGGTAGCACGTTGGTGAGCCCAACCGGTGTAGTTTGTAGATCACAGCTTAGCACACTATGTAAAGGCAGCCAGTTCTGAAATTCAACAAACTCAACTTTTAAAATTTTTATTTCATTACATTTAAAAAAACACACACAAAAATACAAAAAATGAACTAATTCAAATACAATAACTATAAACACAAAAGTTAATAAACAGTAAGAAGCCGAATAAAACACCATCGAGCTGTTTATGTATCAAACTATAACATTTCAAATTTCAAAGATGTGAAATACCATGACATTTACGCCAAAGGGATACATAGCACACCATTTTTAACTAATAGAAAAAAATGCCTTTTTAGTAGAAAAATAAGTTAACCATCATTAACACAAACCAGCCATTGTGAGAGATAAGTTATCAGGGCTAGAAACCTGGTTCTCTTCAGATAACATGGATTATGACTCCCACAATTTCTTCACATTGGCCATGTTGGCTGAGAACAATGGGACATGAGTCCAACGTTTTGGGAAAGAGCCGGGTCACCTTGTCTTGCTCCAGTGTAAAAGCAAATCTATACAGAAAATGTATACAGATCTGTTGTATATTTGCACTCCTGCCATTTAAGGGACGCAGCCCCCCTCCAGCTCTTGTGGACCCCAGCTCCCATTAACCTGAGCCACCAGAAAAGTAGAGAGCTGGGTTGGATTGCAGTTCAGGGATAGAGTGTTAATATCACTATATAATGCCTTGGTAAGGCCACACTTGGAATACGGCATCCCGTTTTGGTCACCATATTATAAAAAAGATGTTGAAACTCTGGAAAGAGTACAGAGAAGAACAACAAGGATGATTAGGGGGCTGGAGGCTAAAACATACAAGGAACAGTTGCTGGAATTGGGAATGTCCAGTTTAATGAAAAGAAGGACGTGGGGGGGGGCATGGTAGCAGTCTTCCAATATCTCAGGGGCTGCCGCAAAGAAGAGGGTGTCAAGCTATTCTCCAAAGTGCCTGAAGGCTGGACAAGAAGCAATGGATGGAAACTAATCAAAGAGAGAAGCAACCTAGAACTAAGGAGAAATTTCCTGACTCTTAGAACAATTAATTAGTGGAACAACCTGCCTCCAGAAGCAGTGAATGTTCCAACACTGGAAGTTCTTAAGAAGAGACTGGACAGCCATTTGTCTGAAATGTGTAGGTTTTCTTGCCTGAGCAGGGGGTTGGACTAGAAGACCTCCAAGGTCCCTTCCAAAGCTGTTATTCTGTTAGAGGGATTGACCAATCAGAATTGAAAGAAGCAGCCTCAGGTGGGCTGGATCCCAGATTCTCCCTAATCATTTAAGGAGGTCTGAGAACAGCCGGGTTTGGCTAGGAGAACCTCCTTTGGAGACAAGATGATGCTTTGCAGAAGGGGACTCTATGGAATTTGGGGTGTTCTGTTGCTGGGTGAGTCCAGAATGGTGGTGGGATGAGAAGTGGGTGACTCAGAATCTCCACAGACATTTAATTAAACAGCTTTCTCATTTTTCTGATTGCATAAAGAATTGGTCTCTTTGAACCTCCTTCAGTTCACCTTGTTAAAGTCGCCACTAACCCTGGCTTACAAACACAAGGCTTGAACGGAAGGATGTGTTTGATGTTTAAAACCCACCTCAAGAAAGAAATGGTCCTTTAGAAGTCATGGTGGATGGGTTTATAAAGGAGAAACTTAACATTTGGAAATGGGGCGTGACGTGAGAAACAGAGCTACAGCAGGCAGACGGAGGGAAATTACAGGCTCCAGATCAGCCACTTTGTTCCTTTGTTTCTTTCAGCAACTCAGGTTTTGGCCCAAGGAAATGGCTTGTTCTCCCCAGTCACGGCTCCCAGCAATTTTCCGGAGACGACCGAGGAAATGGGCTTCTTCAAAAAAGTCTATCATGGTAAGCAACCTATTTCGCAGGCATAAAAGAGCGTGGATTTTGTGTGCAGAGGTCGACTCTGGCTAATGGGTTGAGTTGCGTCTCACTTCAGGGAAGGGATGGGAGACCACTCGGTGCCGTGCCAGTCAATTAATATAGAGCTGGAAGGGACCTTGGAGGTCTTCTAATCCAGCCCCTTGCTCAAGCAGGAGACCCTATATCATTTCAGACAAGTGGTTGTCCAATCTCTTTTTAAAAACCTCCAGTGATGGAGCATCCACAACTTCCACAGACAAAGCTGTTCCACGGGGTAATTGTCCTCACTGGTAGAAAGTTTCAACTTTGAGTTGAGTGGACTTCAACTCCCAGAATTCCACAGCCAGTTTGGTCTAGTGGTTAAGACCCCAGGCTAGCAAGCAAGAGGTTGTAAGTTAAAGTGCTACCTTAGCCGTGAATGATGACTTTGGGTGGGTCATTCTCTTTCAACCCAACCCACCTCACAGCATTGTTGTTGCAGGGGAAAAATAGGAGGAAGGTGTGTCAGCTATGTTTGCCACCTTGAGTTATAGATAAATAAGTGGGGAAATAAATGAAATAAAATGGTATTTTTCAAACTGCACCTTCACAATGTTTGAATGTCAACTTCCAGGATGTGTTTATGGTGTTCATGGAGGTTATTTTCCACCTCCACGGGACCGCTTTGTCCTTGTGGCTTTGAAAATGGCCAGTTAACCTTCTCTTTTTTCCATTTTTCCTGCTTTTCCATTTCCAGCTGCAAGAGGACTGGTGTGGCGTGACTTCCACAGTGCCACGAAACTGACCGCAAGCCCTGACAGGAAGCCAATGGAAAGCCACTTCTTGCAAACTGTTGAATTTGACGCCAATCTGACTTTCTCCCTAAGAGTCCTGAACGGTAAGGCTTGATTCTCTCCAGGCTTGAGAAATCCTGGATTATGTAGGATTATCAGTGCGACACAAAGGCTTTCTTTTCTGCAATTTCTCATTCCATTTGATAGGGCTCACAGCTGGAGAGAGGCTTTCCAGATTGCACTAGGGATCTCTATCTCCGTTGTGGTCTTCTTCTTTACTCTCTCTCTACACACACACACACACACATACACACCGCCCTTGAGATAGAATTGGAGGATTTATCCTTCCTTTAGGGATTCTGTGAAGAGTCTCAATTTTTCCAGATCATGGTTGTCTCCAAGGTGTTTTTTCAATAGGCAACTGGAGTTTTTTCTTTGAGGAAGAAGCTCCAAGAAGCTTCCTCGGTTCTGGAAAGGAGGGTGGTGGGATGGAAGGAGAATTTCTTCCTCTGGAGAGGAACCATCTGCCCCATTTTTCTGCCCCTCGCTTTGGGGGGAGGAAAGCCATTTGGGTCCCTCTCTATCCCAAATCCTGGCTAGTGGGGAATTTTGAGCTTGTTTTCTGGGTATCGCTTGCCGGTTTGTGGTGTTTTAAGGTGTGATGGTTTTTGTCCCGCCCTCCAGAGGACTTCACCATTGAAGCTGCTCCTGAGGTCCACGTGGAAGGTGCTGTGATCCACCTAGAAGCCAGCATCCAGGCGAGCCCAGGGGTGTTCCCCAAACTCTTTATCGAGGAGTGCTATGTGGCCGACACCCCACACCGCAGCCATGCCAGAAGGATCGACATCATTGTCAACAATCATGGGTGAGGGTGGGTGGACTGGGCTGTGGATCATGGGGCGGGGGCTGGTGGAGGTCTTTCCCTTTAAATATTTTCCAAAAAGGGAGCTCTTGATGAGGTGAATTGAATCTCCCCTCTTCCCAAAATAGAAATGGACCGTGGGGGGAAAGTTTACAAGAGCAGAGTCCTTAGCTGGTGCAACGTTTCTCTGTTTTTAAGAACTTTAAGAGGCATGGACTTCAACTCCCAGAATTCCCCAATCACATGACCCTGGGACACTGCAACCCTCCTAAGTACATGCCAGTTGCCAAGTGCCTGAATTTTGATCACGTGATCATGGGGAATGCTGTGATGGTTGTAAGGAGTATACCATTAAAAAAAAAAAAAGGCTTTCCACACTGTCAATCTCCCAGAAGGACTTGTCGCCCTTTCTTCTCTTTTGAAAGCGTTCTTTTTTTGTGACATTGAACGAGAGCCA